ATATATATATATATATATATAAATGTAAATATATACGATAAGATACATATATTTAATCTATAATGTAAAGGCAAGTAATGTTGTAATATGATACTGGTGGTACGTATGGCGCATAAAATTATTTATAACTTGATAAATAAATCACAATCGATATTTTTGCATATCAATTTTTGTATTCGTTTCGATATATAATTTCAATCGTTTAAAGATGTTAAAGATTAATGTAAAATAATATACATTAACACTCCGTATCTAAAAAAAAATGTGATTATTTAAATATATAACGAAAGAAATAAAATAAATTAATGCTTTGCGTATAGTGTACACGTATATGTACATATACGTAATTTTATTACATATATTATATATAACATATGTAACAAGTGTTTTACTATATATATTATTATTATCATATATATACATGTATTATACATATTAAATAATTCTATTTTTTTATATCATTGATTTATATCATTGATTTTTTAATATATAAAGAATTTATTTCAAATAGGAAATTCTTACCACTTCATCGCATCTTTTTGCGTTTTTTTTTATTTTTCTAAAATTTAATGTATCTATCGTTACATTTAAATTCTGTAATTTTGAATTTACAAAAAAATATTTGAAATTTTTATGGGAATGAAAAACTAATATTTACACATTGTCATTATATTTAGCTGCTTAATTTTTATTTATAAAGTTACATAAAATAGTTAATGTACACAGAAATGGTGTTTAGCATTAAGAGCGTATTCAGAGTGCCATTTTTATAAAAATCTATAATATATCAAGAATAAGTCGAAAAAATTTATTAATCGTTATTTTCAATTAAAATTAAATTTTTTTTTATCACAAACAAAAAAAAATCCATCTTTTATAACGTCAAGTTTTGTGAAATTATTATGTATAATAACAACGAAAAATGATACTAGGTATATTTCTCAAGCGGGAATTTTATAAAATCTCAAAATTAATAGTATTACCTATATAACTTTGCTTAACAGACAACATATAATCGATCTCTCGTAACTATTTAATAAAAAATCCTCGGATATGGAACTTTTCTCATTTATTTGACCTCTTGAACACGCAATATTAATTTGGCATCATCTCGAGACATCCGAGGATACGTACAAGTGACGTCGAGCGTTCGATCGTTCAACGTTTAAATAGTGCATTTTGAAACAAAGTTCATAAAATTATAATTATACATATATTATAAAAATAATATTTTAAATTGTAAAAGAGTAAATAATTTTTGAATGTTATATTTGTCGTGTGAGAAGTTTGAGTTTTAATATATTTCGATACAAATTTTTTTTTCCGTATAACATGTACCGTAATTAATGTTAAGCGTAGTGGAAATATTAATTATAATTGCCCAAGATTATTATACCAGAGATCAAAAGATTTAGCCGGTTAGATATTATTATTCTGCCTATATTCATTTTTATTCATTTTCTTCAAATTTTTCAAATTGTCTCTTTTATATAAAATAAAACATTTCTCCGTAACGTATTTCAGAATTTTAACCGTTAATGATTTTTCTACCGACTAGATCTTTCAGCTTCTAGCAAAATTAACGTAATTTATTCTACACTGTCAACAATAGCAGTATCGTCAAGAGTATGCAGCCAGTTAAAAATCATCATATTTCTTTCGTATTTGGATAATTGATTTCCACGTTCTCTTTCAACATCTTTAATGGTTAAAGCATGATTTCGTTCCTTTTGTCCTAATAACGAAGATCCAGTAGTTCCTGTCGTTCCAGGGACCAGTAACGTAGTTCCGGAAGTTGTTTGCGCTGCACTTGCCACAACCTCCAATTGATCTAAATTAAATTCGCTTTGCGAAAGCCGCTCCAAAGCGCGATATGTTGTTAATAATCTAAAAATTATAATAAATCGGATATTAATCCGTTAATCTAAATAATAAAAATTTACATTGCATTTGACGTTCAAATATCATAAATTAATTTTAAATATATAAAATTAGAATAAAATTAGATCTTAACGTCATACTTTAAGACAACGCTCGCATACGACACGCAATATTGAACAATATTTATTTTATCTTTTTACTAATTTTACTTTTTTCGCTTTATGAAAACAAACTTTAACTTCAACAAACAATTTAATAAAATATACAATTAAATAAATTCGGACTAACCTTCGGCGTATATAATTTTGGCGAACCTTTTTATTGACAGATCTAACGAAATCAGCTCCTGTGAAAGGTATCGGTGGATGCGATGCAACAGGAGGTTGTTGAGCCGATTGAGAGGCGGAAGTTTGTTGTTGCTGCTGTTCTTGCATAGCTCCACCATGAGGACTAGGAAGTTGTGACGTATTCGCAACTGGTTCACCAACCGCAACCCACGTACTACACGATCTCGAAGCATGATCAAGCCGTGCATGTTCCAAAAGCAAAGTGTTTCTTTGGGCAGTGTTGAGAGCCAATGTGGATACAGCTGCTCGTAAACCGTTCGGGCCCAATATATCCGGACTTGGCAGTTGAGATACGTCACTCGTGCTAAAACTTTTACGAAGACCAAGTGCCGATGAAAGTACACCACAACTACGAATTAATTCATTTTCTTCCTCAAACCAAAGAATTTCTGGTATATCGGCTGGCCTAAAAAGGTTAGAACAAATATTGGAAATTTAAACAAAATACAATAATTTTTAGAATAATTTTCTCAAACTTTTATATTTTTATATTTTTAAAATCCCGTAAAATTAATCGAACGTTTCATATATAAAATCTTGTTATTTCTATCGCACAAACAATTAATTTTCCATCATGTTTATCGCAATACAGCATTTTTCTTTTTATTCGAATTTCAATAAGGCGTATCGATTCCTATATGTACGTACAACGTTAGGTCGATCCTTTACATAAAAAAAAAAAAAAAAAAAAAAAAATAGAAAAAATAATATAACGCTTTTCTTACACAGGATATTAATATACATATATTCGCGAAATACTTTCAAAGCATTCTCGATACTACAGAAGACAACAACAAAAACAAGTTTAAAAATTGATATATAAAAACATCGGTTAAGACTTATTTATTATAATACATACCTGTTACTTTGGATCTGACGAGAATCAGGTTTCGGTGATGGGCCACGACCAGTTAGATGTACATCGGTATACGATTTAAAAGTAACCAGTCTATTAACCCCTCGCAACTCGCTCGCTATCGAAGATACGCTAAATAGAGAAAGGTCAGTTGTAACACTCTCATGACTGGGAGAACGCAACATTCGTGGTGTAACTTGGAGCGCTGGACACTGCGTATCCGTTAAGCTATTACAGCATTGCGTAGAAGCAGGCGGTGGTATCGGCGATGCCGGTTTCGCTTTACTTTCGGACATTTTTCTATCTTTCAATATCTTTTCAACTGTTGGAACTTTTTTCGTAAAATATGAAAAATTTTATATTATTATGTTCATCGTTCGTCGTCATTCTTAACTCAATGTCACAGTTCTTCATAATTTCTTAATGATTTTTCTTTCCAATTTTTATTTAATTTAATATCAGTAAAATCGAATTCTTCATCAACTTTGAATCTTCAAAATTTCATTACAACACATATCTCCATTGTTTTCGGAGTCATAAATCGTTCTTTCAATATTTGACATTGAAAAATAGTTTTCAAACAATTATCGATTTCCAAACACTTTTATATAGTTTCGCAACATTACTAGAATTAATATTATATCACGTTTGAATCATTAAACAAATTAATTTCAGATTCTTTTCCATACCGCATTCGAACAGCGATCCGATTCTTTAACACGGACATATTTTATGATATTTTTACATATTATTTATCATATTTATAATTATCCTTTAAAACGAAGAAGAGTCGTCTCATTTTAAAAGAACGACAGATCTGCAATTACCTCGCAACATACACACGTATATGCTTTCTTAGATGTTGCTCCGATAATTTTCAGCGTTCTCTATGGACGCGTTTCTCGTTCTTTCCTTCTTGTACTTCTTGTTCAATCTTCGATAAACGAGAATAAACACGCGAACGAACGACGCAAACACGAGAAAAACGAGTTTAAGATTTATAATTATATAAACAGATTCGAAATATAAAAGGATCGAACGATGATTACTTCTTCCGGGCTATGGTCGGCGGTCAAGTCGAGGTCGCTCACTGCACAGGCGTCGATCGATAGAAACAAGGAAAGCCACCCTTGCAAACTCTATATCAATGACACGGAACATACAATGTACAATTTGATTATGTCGCGTTCTTAAAATGTTAAATTTCGATGTAATCGTCAAAAGAAAGGAGGGGAAGGAGGAGAGAAGAGATAACACAGCACAAACGCAAGATATCAACGGATTAATAATAACGTTATTTTATCTTTCAAACGTAATCGGTATTACGATTATCGACTCTACTTATTTTTGCACGTTCCTCTATATCCACATTATCCATCTCGTCGGAAATTATAGTCAAATTCGGATTTAAATATAGGTATACGACATTGTATTCTTTATTTTCAATATATTTGTATACGAACAATAGTTTCTTTACTCATTTATCGATCGTATCACAAGTCACGAGACTTTCCGTACACGCGTAAATTCGTATAATTGGATAATTATCGTTTCAACGATATCATTGAACGATCGTCAAATCGAAAAAGATAAACGATACGTATATACGCGACACGCGATGCGTAACACGTCGTATCGAAACGAATATACCTATATATCCGTATCAATGATGTTTTTATACAAAATCGAAACAACGGTACATTACGCAACAAAAGGATAATTTTTTTTTTCGAGGTAAATATTCTCGTAAAATTTCAATTTCGAATTTTAATCTCTTATCTTTTTTTTTTTTTTTTTTTCAATGAAATAGGATTCGCGCAAAATGGTGCGAAATCGCCGTTTCAATTCAATCAAGTTGGAAAATTTTTGAACGATTTTTTTAAATATACGAATATATCGTTTAGTTCGTCCGTTCGCACGATACTTTGATACCGATGATTTATTAATTATTAAACAATAATTTGTGCAAGTATTTATTTAATACTTTAAATCATGCACGCAACACTCATTAATAATAACGTCAAAATACTTGGCAAAAGAATCGAATAAAGCTTTCAAAAGTTTTTCAATAAACGAATAAGATAACAAAGAGCAAAGTATCAGATATTATAATCGGATATAAACAGGAGAAAAACCTTAGGAGCTATCTTTAATAATTAATTATTTTATTTACATTTTTTACTTACATTATTCGAAATTTTTACACGAAATTCTTATTTAACGATCAAAGAAATATACGATCCTTCATTTATTTCTTCATTAAATTTATAAAAAAAATTCGTATACAAAATATTTAATATCAATTCTGAATAAATATATATAATCTATTCATTTAATTTTATTAATTTTTGCTAGTTCAATAGTTATAATTTATTTTATAATTGATTCAAATAAATAATCTCGCAAAATTTATACATTTATTTATATTCGATAAAAAAATATTTATATCAATTGAACTTAATTCGAGGAATATAAAGCAACCTTCTACGATCAACAATATCATCCAAAGAATTTAAGTCTGGTAAAACCGATGGTAATTGAAAATGAACATTGGTCCACATCGTTCGAGTAGAATTTCCAACCAGAGACCATTCTTTAATATTTTGCACGGGAGTATAATAAGTTTCCGTTGTCGTGGAATATCCTGGATAATACGGATCATATTCTAATTCATTCGGTATTAAAGGTTTCAAAGATAACGTTAAAGCGTACACGGGTAATTCAGTAGTAGCCAAGGCGATATTCGCCGTCGCAGTACTGGCCGTAGTAGGAAGAATTTTTGTATTTCTTTGAATAGATTTCAACGTTTCCAAATATGGATAATTTCTATAATTTATAGAAGATAATTTCAAAAAATGATCAGCATTCTTGACAGGTTGATAATCCTTTACATTATTCTCTCGAGTTCGAATATTTTGAGATAACGTATTCGAAGACACTTTTAGGAGATTGTACACAGCATCGTTCATTTTTTGTTGCGAATAATTTCTTTGGTTAAGCGTGGATTTCTCATTACGTTTATCCTCGTCGTAAAAACTTTGGATCCGAATAGAAAAACTTTCATTTTTCTTTAAACCATTTTTATCATATTCACCAATCGTATAACGCGTTCCAGTACTCGTCTCAGAATTAGTAGTGATTACATTATTATAATTCGACGGATAAAATGAATCAATCGCTTTATCTTCAGTAGTTTTATCTAGATTTTTGAGTGGTCGGTCAGAATTAGAGATAAATTTATATCCCACTTCGTTGTTCGTTTTCATCAATTGCGTCACAGGGAAAGAAGGAAAAAGAGATCGACCCTTATCTTTTGGATAAGAAGAATCATCATCCTTGGTTTCCTCGGGTTTTTCATTATATTGTTTCAGAGCAGAGCGTGAAATACTTTTTTCACAACGCACAAGATGAGCATGATCGCATATCAAGGCATCTTGTCGAAAAGCAGTCTCTTCCGGGCAATGATAAGTAAATTTATTCCCATATTCATCACAGGTATAATATATTTTACAACTAGCATCCGTATCAGCATAAAACCCAGCAGTTCGGTTCAAGCACGAGAAATTCACCTTTACAGAGTTTACAATATCCTGAAAAACATAAAAGTTAAAATTACAATCAATTAATCTTTATTTATTAAAATATCATTTATAAAATTAATACTTATTACACTCATCCTATATATTTTATACGTTTTATACGTTCAGCACAGGTATAATATAAATTCTGCATTTCACAAATTTTCATTATTATACCAAGCAAATTATTACAGTTATCACAATTCTCAATTCTTACAGAGATAAGAAATCACAATCAAATCATAATTTTTTTCTTCTCAGCAGGAAATAACATTTTGCTCAATAAAAAAATATTAAAAACTGAAAATGCTTAAAAGTTTGCCAATAAGTTTTATAAATATTCGATTAAATTTTACGTGGAATCAACATATCACGTACGTACATAGCGAAGATAATAAAAATTATACGCATTTCTCTATACGAGATACAGCTACGAGACACAACATAGATTTCAGGAAGAAAAAAAAACGAAAATATCAAAAAATTAATACATTTCTAAATATTCATATTAAATTAAATACTTTCGCGTTAAAAAATTCAGTGTACATTACATTTTACATAGCATCTTTATTACGAAAAATAAAGAAAACAGTTAAATCATATATAGTTCAAAATATCACATCATAACAAATATTTAAAATGTATTTTAGAAACTTTACTCGAGACACGTATTCACTCATTTTTTATCAAAAATCTTAATTATAAAATATAAATTAAGAAACAGAATCATCTTTTTTTAACTTTTCGAAGAAACAATGTTTCTTCGTCGATCGAAATTTTGACGATAAAAAATAACAACGATGCAAAACAAATTCAAGAAAGTTTATTTTACGACCTAACCAATATTTTTATTACTTACGAATATCTCGGACTGAATACACAGAATAAACATCGCGCAACGAAAAATAATTTTCCAAATCCATACGAAACGTATCATTTTCATAATTATATGAATCAAAATAATATATCTTTGAGAGAAATTAAAGTGAAAACAACAATTTATCTTCACAAATACCAACGTTTACACATCTACGGACATATCGGAAACTCGTGAGAAAACGAAGGATATAAGACTAACCTCCGAGTCATAGACGAGATAGAGAATAGAAGTAACATTCGATAGAATTTTTTGTATCGTTCATCGCTGAAAAGAAGTTTCAGGCTTGCGAGGCAGCACAGAAGCAAGAGGGTCCTTCGCTAAGACTCGTATTCGACATTAGTCGAATTTAACGCGTTTAACTTCTTAAGAACAAACGATCAGATCTTCGATGGATCATAGATCGGATATACTATAGATAGGCCGATGCAACAAAACGTTATCGGGTACTCGACTACTATACGAAACGCGTCATTTTATTAATATAACGAGAACCGTTGAAACATCCGGATAAGCAGCATTCGATGCAATAACGTTTGTGCACGAAACTTGGAATCGAAAATCGTTCAACAACATCTCAAAAATTAATAAATATTCGTATATTAATAAGCTAAAATTTCACGCTTAAGATTTCCTGCCTTTTTTCTCCATTAATTCACAATTTCGTTTCCACCGGTATCATCCCGAACGTGCTAATTTCTTTTTCTTTTTTCAAATTTATTACGTTATATTTTCGTTTTTTCTCTTTCATTTTTATTTTTGGAATTCGATTTACGACCGAATTCGAATACGATTAAATGATATTTTAATTTTAATTCTCGATATCTTAATATTCGAAATGTAAGAGAAAAAGAAAAAAATATGCAAATTAAAAACGAAATAAAGGAAAGGAATCGAATAATTCGAAATTTTTGTTTTATTTATCGATTTTAATGATTATATTTTTTTTTTTTTCAATCTCTAAGTATTTATCGGTTAAAGAATTATTTTTTTTTTTTTTTACGTTTCGACTCGTTTCGTTCTTCATTTTATCGTATCCTCGTATTCGATAAATACTTAATTCTCCTTTTCATCGATTTATGTATTAATAATTATATTCTTACACTTCCATACTTTATTTACTTAACAATTATTCATAATATCTTTAATATTTAATTTTTTAATTTTTAATATTTTATTTAACATAACGTACATCGATATCGATAATTTTCATTCGGAGAGCAGAAACGAAAACATCCGTCCCGTTCCGTGTTCGGAAACCGACCACGTTTAATCGACACACACAACAACAATCGACGCGATTCACATTCGCTATAATATTAATATTCATTTCATTTCATTAATTTATCAATTATTATCACGATGCTTCTTTTTTTTTCGTTCTTACGTTACGTTTATAAATTTTTAATTTTAATATTTTTCGTTTCTCGAATAGTCTAATTTTTTTTTCATTATTAATTTATAAGATTTATAAAAAGGTTCAACGACATTTTTTCTTTATCTTTTCTTTTCTTTTAACTTTTTAATCATTTTTGTTGAATTATCGTTCGAATTATCAAT